CTCAGGAATTCTGGGAGTTGAAGTCCACGAGTCATATAAGAGCCAAGGTTGCCTACCCCTGGTCTAGGGTCTCCTGGCTGAGCAGGGGGTTGGACTAGAAGACCTCCAAGGTCCCTTCCAACTCTATTATTATTTTTATTATTGATCATCGCACAGTCAGCCAGATGTTCAGACTGGATTTGGCATTTTGTCTACCTATCGAGTCCTTCCCAAAGACCTGGGATAGGCAGATGTGGATGTTTGATGGTATTACAGATCTCGTCGCAGGATGGAAGCGGTTCCTAGTAAGGCCACCTTTTGCAATTGACTAATGGCGAATTTGTCAATGCCGATGATGGTGTTCAAGTGGTGCTCCAGTTGTTTTGGGATTGCACCCAAGGCGATGATGATGATGATTATTATCATTGTTGTTGTTATTATTACCTCAATTGTATTTGTGAAATGTATACATTGCCTTAATCTGATTGGTTTGGTAAGGTATGTCTGCACATCCTTACAGTCGTGTCCAGGCCTGGAGATAAAAAAAAAAATCCATCTCCTTATCAGTTCCATTTTAATCATTTTAATTTTTGGATTGCTGCCAGACTTTAGCTAAACAAAACCAGGTGCCACTTCTCACTCAAACCTTGTCCTCATTGCTGACACGTGTTCAGCTTCACATCTGGGCCAGAATATTAAAACGCCCAAATGTACAATTGGGAAGGGGCCCTTTTATGACTGTTGAACTTCAACTCCCAGAATTCCTCAGCCAGGCATGCTGGCTGAGGAATTCTGGGAGTTGAAGTCCAACAGTCATAAAAGGGCCAGGTTTGAAGACCCGTCTCAGAATTCCTCAGCCAGGCACGTTGGCTGAGGAATTCTGGGAGTTGAAGTCCACAAGTCATAAAAGGGCCAAGTTTGAAGACCCGTCTCAGAATTCCTCAGCCAGGCACGCTGGCTGAGGAATTCTGGGAGTTGAAGTCCACAAGTCATAAAAGGGCCAAGTTTGAAGACCCGTCTCAGAATTCCTCAGCCAGGCACGCTGGCTGAGGAATTCTGGGAGTTGAAGTCCACAAGTCATAAAAGGGCCAAGTTTGAAGACCCGTCTCAGAATTCCTCAGCCAGGCATGCTGGCTGGGGTATTCTGGGAGTTGAAGTCCACAAGTCATAAAAGGGCCAAGTTTGAAGACCCCTGGGCTAGGAGGACATAGTCTGTCAGATCTGGTTGTTGAAATTGCATCTCTCGCATCGGTATGAGAAGTTGAATAATCATCCAATGACTTGACCCATAGGCAGAAGGAGAAAAAGTTGTCAGGGCGGAATTTCCAGATGCCATCATTATGAAGCCTTCTGATATATACGGGAGAGAAGACAGGTTCTTAAACTATTACGCCGGTAAGTATGTTTATTGTAACATATAAACTTTTTTACTAAAGAGACAGGCATTGGACAGAATACAGTATATATATTCCTGCAGTCGTGAAAGCTGCACCGGATGTTTTTTTTCCTTCTGCGGTTACATTATTGATGTGAAAAAAACTGCACACGTTTAAATAAGGTTCTCGTTTAAATCCGTACAGTAATAAACCTTTCAGATCTTGGTTTCAAACCCTAGTGGTTTGTGGGGATTCCAGGAACTACGGGTAAGGGGCCATTTCCTATTTGATCATTTAAAAAATATTGTAAATTCATGGTCATTAGATAAGATAAGGTAAGATAAGGCAAGATAGGATAGGATAAGATAAGACAAGGCAAGACAGGATAAGATAGATAAGATAAGATAAGATAGATAGGATAACCTTTATTGTCATTTTTTTACTGTGGGCACAACGGCACACATCAACAATGAAATTTAGTTGCAAGAACTAGATGTGTAACACTATGGTTAGCCCTTTTTATCCAAGTTTTTGGGTTTCCCATCTATATAATAGCTAATAATCCTGTTGTGAGCAATGGAAATTTTGTGAACGTTGGACTATATGAATATATAATTAAGCCCCTTTGAATTCTGTTAGGCTTATTCCTGATTTTAAGTGTGAAGCATGTGCAGTTGTGAACATTTTTACATTTTTACAAAAGTTAAAAAAGTTAAACATTAAAATAAATACATTGTCTAACCCAGCGGCCCCCAATCTTTGGGGCACCAGGAACCGGTTCCGTGGAAAGAGGCTTTTCCGCGGACAGGAGGGTGCGTAGTTTTGTGTGCTGCCTGCATCCCGTGGATGGGGCTTCCCTTGTTTGCGCAGACCGGTTCCCGACATCCCGCGGACTGGTGCCGGTCCACGGCCCGGGGGTTGGGGACCCCTGCTCTAAAACCTATTGGAAAATAACTAAGCAAAGTAGTAATATGAATAAGGATCTTTAGTTGACTTACCTCTCTTGATATAGGGTTGCGACGGTTTGGCGGAGTACCCATTGTTGGTTTTGGCAAGAAAACTGTGAAGCAGCCTGTCTACGTAAGTACTAATTAAAAGAATAGAATAGAAGAATAGAATAGAATAGAATAGAATAGAATAGAATAGAATAGAATAGAATAGAATAGAAAACAGAAACATCTGTGGAGCCTTCCCTTTTATACAAGGCTCTTAAAGAGACACAGCCCTTGCTTGCTCTTAAAGAGACACAGACCTTGCTTGCTCTTAAAGAGACACAGACCCTGCTTGCTCTTAAAGAGACACAGACCCAGCTGGCTCTTCAAGGGACATAGACCCTGCTGAGTCATTCCCAACATTACATCATGCGTCTTATATTACATCAGCTGGTTAGCTTCTAAATCATTACCTTGACAAAATTTAATTAACCATGTCAATATTTTTTTCTGTTGAATATTATTTGATAGGTGGTTGATGTAGCCCGGGCAGTAATGAATGCTATCAAGGACCCTGATTCTAAAGGAAAAACATATGCACTGGTTGGGTATGTTTTCTGTTTTTTTTACTTCTCTCATGTAAAACCTACAACATTTGTTCTGTCTTTAATGCGCTTGTGTTCCTTTAAAAAAAAAAAACAACCCTTCAAGACTCGCAGGAGTCTTCTCCAGCACCAGAGTTCAAAGGCCTCAGTTCTTTGGCGCTCAGCCTTTCTGATGGTCCAACTCTCCCAACCATACATTGCAACTGGGAAAGACTTTTATTAGTTGCATTTTATTTACACAGTTTTGACATTCCGCATTACAAAGATTCAGACGTCTTGATAAATTGGCTGTTAACCTGAAATGTTACATAGTTTTCATACTGGGAAGAAAGCTTTAAAACGCAGGTCCAGTTCTACCCCATTCCAGCCCCAAATTGTTTAAAATGAGGGGTGGGTAACCCCCTCCAGCTCCCGAGCGTGTCCAGAAAATCATTTTTAAGGTCGCAGAAATGATTGCGTATTTAAAAAGAGTTCGTTTTGACTTGTTGGATTCAAAGTCTTACAAGATCAGCTTGGCTCTGCCCCTATTTTTTGCCTGGATTGGAGGGACCCCGAGCTAATAGCAACCTTCCAAAAAAACTGGTTTGCTTCTTCACGAACTGAAGAAGCTTCTTGATGAGAAGGGAAATGTTTTCAAGGGGGGGGAAAAACCCTCAAGTTGCCTTTTGGAACCAAAAAATTAATAATAATAAGCACCTTTGGGATAGTAGTAACCTTTTGTTAAGCTTTTGTTCTTATTTTGTTTGCTCGCCATTTTTAAATGATTAAAGCTTGTCTGCGTACTGGAGGATCGGGAGATGCTCCTAGTGATGGGAGCAGCATATTGGCAAGGCAAAAGTAAATAAATCCACTGCTTTATGATTTGATTGCTCCAGTTTGTTTAGCAGAAACAAACATCAGGTTACAGTGAGTTAAGAAGCCTTGACAGGGGTTGGCAATACGTTGTCATCGGTATGCGGAGAGCGCGCCGTTCAGTGCCAAATTCCAATTCAAAACCCTTCATTGTTCTCTCCTGATTTTGATGGGAAAAAAACCCTGTGGAAAGGCTGAGTTTCTTACTACCCAAATGGTTGTAAAACCACCGTTTCATGCTTCAGATTTCTGGGTCCAGAATAAGGTGGCGGGATAGAGAGTTTGAATTAAAATCTTTTACAGGTAGTCCTCGACTTAAAATCATCCATTTAGCTCACGTTTTAACCGGCACTGGGGAGGGGGGGGGAAATGACAATTTTTCACCCTTAACGACCGTGGTAGTGTTCCCTTGGTTCACGTGATCAAAATTCAACTACTTGCCAACTGGCTCGTATTTGTGACGGTTGCAGTGTCGTGTGTGTGTGTGTGTGTGTGTGTGAGAGAGAGAGAGAGAAAGAGAGAGAGAGAGAGAGAGAGAGACGTGATCCCCTTTTGCAACCCGGCACTGGGGGGAAAAAATATTTTTTCACACTTACGACCGTTGTAACGTTACCTTGGTTCACGTGACCAAAATTCAGCCACTAGCCAACTGGCTCGTATTTATGACAGTTGCAGTGTCCTCTGTGTGTGTGTGTGTGTGTGTGTGTGTGTGTGACATGATTCCCTTTTGCAACCCTCTGATGAGCAAGGGGGAAGCCAGGTTCGCTTAACGACCCATGATACCAATTTAACAGCAGCAGCGATACCAACTTAGCCGCTGCGGCAAGCAACGTCATAAAATGGGGCAAAACTCGCTTGGCTGTCTCGCTTAGCATCGGAAATTTTGGGCCGAGTTGCGCTCGAAAAGCCGGGGACCGCCTGTATTCCGTTTGGTGATTAGCTACAGCCAAATAAAATAAGAAAACCAAGATCACGGCATCCGGCCCTCTCAATTCCTGGCAAATAGATGGGGAAGAAATGGAGGCAGTGACAGATTTTATCTTCCTGGGCTCCAAGATCACCACAGATGGGGACTGCAGCCAAGAAATTAAAAGACGCTTGCTCCTGGGGAGTAAAGCTATGGCAAATCTAGACAGCACACTAAAAAGCAGAGACATCACCCTGCCAACAAAAGTGCGTAGAGTCAAGGCCATGGTTTTCCCAGTTGCAATGTATGGCTGTGCAAGTTGGACCATAAGAAAGGCTGAGCGCCAAAGAATGGAGGCCTTTGAACTCTGGTGCTGGAGAAGACTCCTGCGAGTCCCCTGGACTGCAAGGCGATCCAACCGGTCAGTCCTGGAGGAGATCAACCCCGACTGCTCTTTAGAAGGCCAGATCCTGAGGTTGAAACTCAAGTCCTTTGGCCACCTAATGAGAAGGAAGGACTCCCTGGAGAAGAGCCTGATGCTGGGAAAGATGGAGGGCAAGAGAAGAAGGGGACGACGGAGAAGGAGGTGGCTGGATGGAGTCCCTGAAGCAGGAGGCCTGAGCTTCAATGGACTCCAGAAGATGGTAGAGGACAGGAAGGCCTGGAGGAACGTTGTCCATGGGGTCGCGATGGGTCGGACACGACTTCGCAACTAGCAACAACATCAAATAAAGGAAAGGGGAAAAAAAGATAAGATAAAGCCAAATAAATTGGACCCCTCTTCTACAGTTTTGTCATACACCCTGAGAGTCCCCCATCCTGAGACCAGACTGGCCTTCCTACCTGTCCATCAAAGAGGGGAGGGCAGAGGTAGCCACGACTACCATCAAGCACAGAATGGAGGGGAGGAGAGCTGAAATCCCTTCTTTAACCTGTTCAATACCTGGATGGACGATCTTTGTCCCTCTGCCTCTCCTCTACCTCAGCAGAAGGCAAAGACCTGGCTGACCTTGAAAGCAGCCAGGTCCGGTGAGATCCTGCAGTAGAATCACCGTGAGGAGCAAGGACCTGCAAGGC